GGGGGGGGGGGGAGTTTTTAAGTCACATGGAGCTCTTGAAATAAAGTTTGAACAACATTTATTCTTGGCAGCTCAAGCTTTGTTGCCTCTTTTTTTCCTGCAATCTAGGGCATACACCAAATGGCGCTCAGTTTTACAGCCTTGGCTGAAACCAGAAAAAAAAAGGGGGCTTGACTTGAAACAAACCAAAATAATTGTATTGCTTATGGAGTTAACTGAGGTTTGGGTGAGGGAATCTCCTGACCACAGGCTGATTCCCTGTTTGATTTAATTTTATTTAACACAAGAGTTGATGCTGTTCTTGACTCCGGAACTTTAAACAACAACATAAATAAACCTCCCCATTTCACTCACATGTTCAAAGCTTGTGAAGTATTACAAAGGGCAAACCCAAGAGAATTATACAATTAAACTAAATCAATATTTATCTTAAAACAGAGAACTTCAAACATTTTTTGCTCAACTACTCTATCATTTAAAAATATGTACATATATACTTTTACACATTTTATATTTTAATATCTAACATGTTCATCATAAATTTAAATCAGATGCAAAGTTCATTATTTCTAGCAAAATAAAATTGAAGTTTTAAAATAAACTGTTACCCCACTCTTGTAAACTTTATCCAGTGGGATATAAACACCACAGCAATTAGATACTCACTGAAGTACAAGGAAGTTTTTCATGTCAGATCAGACCTTTGCTAGAAGATCTCAAGCTGGTGGAGCTATTTCAGTGCAACGGCCTTGAATCAGCTGAAGCTGGCAAACCATGAGGTTTGAGCCCCGCACAGCTGAAGCTGATAAATCAGATCTTGGAGTGACTCGGGCGCAGGCTCGCATCAACCCAATACAAAACTTCTGACTAATCAAAATGGCACCGATTTTGACCAACTATCTACAAACTTATGGACTAATTCTGTCCTACCTTCAACCTTCAATCTTTAACGAGCAAAGCCTCCATGAGCCGATCTCTCTCCTAGTCCATACAAATGATCGACTTATTCCCCTCAACAAACTCTTCAGTCCAGTTTTCTACTGATACGTGTGCTCTCACCTGGGATTGTGAATCTCTGTATATTAGGCTAGATTTATAATATACCTAGTCCTTAGATTTATCACAGTGTAAAAATGATAGTATTAATATTCTAGTTTATGCAAGATTAAGATTTATTTACTCATAAAAGTCTAATTTACATTAACTTCTTAAGTTTCCTATACTGAACTTACTGGTCTTAAGCTAAAACTTTTTTAAACATTCAAGATTTTCAAAATGTAAACATATGTGGCCATCTAATTTGAATTATTAAAAACAATGAGTCCATAAATTAAATTTTAATAAGCAATGTCTTTATAACTTATGACAGTGTTGCAAATTACGCAATTTTAATTCTAATATACTTTACAGCATTAATTAAAGGCTCGGAAAGTTTACCAATGCCCCCTTATTGTCCATAATACGCTCTCACTCCAGGGTAATCACTGACTTACACATGTAGACTGGCATTTTATATTCCTCAACACAGCTATGACATGATTTCTAGTCCTTTCTTTGTTTCTGAGGCAGATGGCTTCATGGAAGTAGACAGCTTAACCCAGGACCTTGGAATCAAGGTATAACTGAAATTAAGCCTGTAACAATGGCTACTAATTTACATTTTATTTTACATNAGCCTGTAACAATGGCTACTGATTTACATTTTATTTTACACGTTAACTTTTTTCACTGTGATGTTTATATTTCATATTTTTACCACCATCCTGATTCTAGGACAAACACACTTTATTCAGATACTGAGTGGCACATTCAATATGGCCAAAACTGCATACAAAACAAACTGTTGGGTTTGTATTGTTGTCCTAAGGGGCTCATCAGTGCAGCAGCCGTGATGGCAGTGATGAATGCTGCGTTTAGGTCCAACACCACTGGGGCTCCTGGACCAAAAGCTGAGCTAGCCACTACCACTGCTGACTGTGGAACATTCCAGCAAAGGACACCAAAGCTGAGCACCCCATAAGGCACCATCCCTCAAATGCACCATCAACTACTTGATGGCAAATTGATTATACTGGGCCCCTTCTACAACGGAAGGGGCAGCAACTCATTCTTACTGGAATCAATACATATTCCGGGTTTGGGGTTTTCCTTTCCCTTTTACAGGGTCTCACTCAACACCACTATGCTAGGGCTTACAAAGTGTTTGACCCACCAACACAGTATCCTGCACAACACTGCGTCAGACCAAAGAAACCATTTTGCAACAATGGAGGTGCAGGGGTGAGCACATGGCCATGAGATGTACTGGTCCCATCACATCCCACACCATCCAGAAGCTGCGAGCTGACAGAGGGACGGATGATCTTTTGAGGATGCAACGCAGGCAGCAGTTGTGAGGATACCCCGTGAGCACCGTCATCCAGGTTCAGTATACTCACTAAATCCATGATCACTGAATGGGGCTGTTTCCACAGTGAAATACAT